AAGGAAGGAAGGAAGGAAGGAAGGAAGGAAGGAAGGAAGGAAGGAAGGAAGGAAGGAAGGAAGGAAGAAAAAGAAAGTGAACTTCTGTCCCTAAGAAAAGCAAAGACTGAGTCTGGAGAACTCCCAACACAGAGCTTTGCAGTCCTACAAGACGTTCCGGCTCCAGCTCCACACCTCCAGCTGTCCCTGGGGATCTCCTCAGTCATCTGCTCTGGGCCCAAGGAGTACTAGACCCAGAACCGGGGTCCTGTCACCTTGCTCCTCTCAGCACCAGCTGCTGCACTTGCCCGGTCCAGCCTTCCCCCTGCCTTACCGCTTGCCTTCAGCTCCTCCTCCTTTGCCTGCTGGGCCTCCTCCTTTTCCAACCACACCCTCTTCCATTCCCGCTTCCTCTGCAACCTTGCGGAACGTTCTCTCATCAGGAAACAGCCAGCCCCACAGAGCAGGAGCCCCAGCACAGTCAGGCTCACGACAAAAGCTGGTTTCCAGGGAGAGGCCTGAGGGAAGAAGGGCTCTGCAGCCCGAGGGTGGGGAGCAGGTCAGGGGCGCTCCAGGACGGCCCCGCACACTCAGGGCGGCCGGCCCTCCCCTGTCCTGCTGGAAACAGAGCCACGCTGACCTGGGATGAAGATGGCCGTGGTCCTCTCCTGGCCCAGGACCGGGTTGAGGATTTTGCACCCCACGCGGACCCCGTCCTCCTCGGGCCCTCGGATGTGCACCTGAGGGGCAGAGCCCACCTCTGCAGGAGAAAAGTTGTGGGGACCCTGGCATGCTACTTGGATCTAAGAATCCCAGTGGTGCCTCCATGGGGCACAGCCCAGGGGGAGCCTGTCACCGCTCCCTCTAGGGGTGGTGTGGGGAAGGTGGCCCTGGGGAGGGAACAGTACAGGCACACACAGGGACCTCAGGGGGAAGCACAGGGACCTCCCAGGCACACAGAGGTGAAGGGTTTTATTCTCCAGCCAATCATGTGGAAAGACCAAGGCCCAGAGGAAACAGGAGAAGGAATTTGGTCCCATCTGTGAACCTCCGCTCCTCTCACCCACACACTCTCCCAGCATCTGTTCCAGACTCATCTTTATAAATTATCTCCGACATTGTATCGATTGACATCCCTGTCTTTAGATCCCCCTTTTCTTATAACGGCATCCTTCTGGGTTATCTCTACGTGATCTTTCAAATAAGTTTTAAACTCAAAATTCTACAGTTGCATCTATAATTTTCCCAGTCTCTGATCAACTATTAAAATGCTCCCCCAGCCCAGGGGCTGGCAGGTAGCATGGTGCTTAAGGGCACCAGAATCCCACATGGCCAACTGTGGTTCAAGTCCTGGACCTAGCAGCTCTCGTTCTCTCTCTCTCTCTCTTTCTCTCTCGCTCCCCTCCCCCCACCAAAATAAAATGAGTAAACAAAGTATAATAAAATAATTCTATTTTAAAAGATGCCCCTTCTTCATCTTTCTTTATATCTACCCCACCCTCTGCCACATATATTCCTCTTGAAAATTAGTGAAGTTTCCCTCACCTTTTCTTAGAACATTTCTTTAGAAACTTACAATTATAACTGCTTCCTTCTCTCTTTAAAATATATATGTGAATGTGTGTGTGTGTGTATAAAATTTTGAAGCTACATAGGCTTATCACCAGCTTTGTGACTCATGAATGCCTTTCCCAAGGACCTGGGAGCCTTCTCTTTGAAATGTAAGTGGCAAAGGAGGTGGCACTCCCATCTCCCCATTCTCTGGGAGGGTAGGTGCCTAGTCCAGTAGGCATCTGACTTGAACTTGTAAAACCCCTTCTGTCATAAAGATGGGAAAAGCGAAGTTTGTTTTTCCTCAGGTAAAGCCAAATCACTCGCGTAGACGATCACTCCAGTTACCAGGTAAGTTTAGGCAAGCCATGTGAGACAGATGGTGCTTCACGTCCACTCATTTGAGGATTACGTAGTGTGTATCTTGAAAGCATGTCTGCAGGGCCAGCCCTTGCCCTAATGATTAAGGGAGCAGGGCCCCAAAGGACTGACAACATGGTTCAAGTCCCAGACCCAGTGGCTAGAAAATCACGCCAGGTGCCTGAGTGCTTGTGCCCCCAATCCAGAAAGTAAAGGAGCAAGGAATGGAGACGGGAGTACACTGTGACCTTCCCCATAGAAGGTGCTTTCTCTGTCTTAGTCCCTCTCTGTCTCTTTGTCTCTCTCTGGCAAGCATACATAGGTCCTTGGAAAAGTAAGAATGTATTTTTCTGTTTTTCTGTGCAAAAAATGCATCATGGCTTTTCTGACGACCCAGTATGAGGGGTTATAGGTGCTCGGCTGTAAAACATGAGATTTCTTCTGTCTTTGTGAGATCTCCTTCTCTTGTAACCCCTTAGCAGATGACTGTGATGTGTATCGCATTCTGGTTTAACATTTATTTAATAACGAAATGGTTATCATTCTCTACTCCCTTTGTGGAGGGGACTTCTGAAGTGTGAAAAGATTCTGTTTTTAATTGAATTCCCCCTCAAAGATGTACGAATCAGCCCAGCTGAGTTTAGCCAAGTCCCACCCAGATTAGCTGGACTCTCTTAATGCCTGAATTAAATACATTTCTGTTTCTGTATACCACCAAAATTTTATGCCATTTCTTACAGAGCAGTATTGTGGCAATAAGTAACTGATACATAATTAGCAATATTCCTGCCCTGACACAACAAACAGCCAAGGCAAAATCCTGAGAGGCTCTTCCATCCCCTTTTCTCCTCCAAACTCGCTGTGTCCTCACAACTAGTTACTCAGTTGAGTCTAATTTCTAAACTTCTTTGATGTTGAACCCTTCAGGTCCCGGACGCCCCACTACCACAGCCTGAGGTGAGCCAGGCACCCTCTCCCCATCTTAACTGCACTTCAAGCCTCTTTCTTTATTATTATTTTTTTCATTTGATTTAGAGAGAGATTTTGCTATAGGGCAAGTGCGCTTACCCAAGAGACAGAGAAACAGAAGTGAGAAATCGTCCCCAGAGGGGATGGCCCTGCCTCAATCCCTTCTCCTCCATTCTTCTCTCAGGATTTTGGGCACTACACATTCAGCATGCATTTCAATCCACCAAGGCAGGGACTCAAACGTCAGTGAGTCCAGCGATGTAACCATTGCGCCATCTGCTGGTCCCGCATGCGTCCTTCTTGTTTGCCCTGCAATCATCCTCCTCACCGCTACCACAGCACTCCCAGCCCTGCCCTGCCCACGTCTCCTCAGCTCTGCACCCAAACTCCCGACCACAACACACAGCAACTTTAGGGTCTGGCCACCACCTTCCTCTCCAGCCTTCTCTCTATCTCCTCCCAGAATCCACTGCCTGTGCCCCTGGGGACCCGCACACTCCAGCCCCAGGTCTGTCTGGCTCCCTGGGAAGAGCCACGACCATCCTGGGAAGAGCCACGACCATCACGCTGTCTCTGTGCCTTCTCACAGGAGATCCCTGGTGAGCCCTGTGCCAGCTGAGGTCTCCTCCCAGTGACCTTTCCTGACTGTCATAGGGGGTGTTCCTCAGTCCCTCCTCAGTGTACCCTGTGCCAGGAAGGCCTCGTTACTCCAGTGTCATCATCTCTCCGTGCCCTCCCCTCACTGCTCTCACCAACCACAGTGGTCCCCAATGTGTCCAGAACACACCAGCTGTGCTCCACCTTGGGGACGTCACACTGGGTGCTCCCTGTGAGGAGCTCTGGGCCCTCGGAGATGCTCTTGGCTAAATACCTGTGATACTTTCTTGGATCTTTGTTTAGATGGTCAATAAGGCCCTACGTAACTGATTTTAACTTACGCAACTTATTCTCTGTAACTTATTCTTTTGTCCTAAGCATTTATCACGGTCTTACATTATCTACACCCTGTTTATTGTGATTTTTCTACCGCTGCCTGTAGAACATAAATGCCACAGGGCAAGGATCTTTATTTGCTTCATCAAAGTATCACAAGTGCCAGAACAAGGGCTGGCCCATATGAGAGGATCTTCAAAACATTTATAGAAAATATGCTGTATGAATAGAACTATGTGGCCCTGTGGCCTACTTTTTAAGGGAACAAGATTCCACATGAAAGACCACAGTTCAATCCTAGCCCCCAGCAACTTGAAAAACACACCAGACCCATGTATAGGTATGCCCTAAATCCCACAGGATGAAGAAATGAAGACAAGATTGCAGCATGACCACTCCCATGGGCAGGAGCTTTCTCCCTTTCTTTCTCACTCTCTCTGTCTCTCTGTCTCTCTCTGGCAAGCAAACAAGCCCTCAAGCAATTAAAAAAAAAACTATACATGAATTTCAATTTTTTCTGCACCAAAACAAAATCATAATTTAATTCCATTTTCATGAGCTTTTCAAAATCTTTTCACATTAGTGGCTCTACATATTTGTGTAGAATAAGTGAATAAAAGAATGAGCCTCATTTTCCTCATCTAGAAATTAAAAATCTGATTTGAGGTTCCCTTCAAATCCAGTGCTCAAGACTCTAGCATACAGATCAGTCTGTACCTGCCACCTGCAGTTCCAAGTTGGCCTCCTTGTAGAAACCTCCCTTCCTGAAGAAGCAGGTGTACAGCCCGTTGTCAGAAACCCAGACCTTGTGGATGCGCACGGCAGCCTCCCCCTGGGCAAGGAAGTCCCTCACCAGTGAGGCCCGCTCTGCGTACTGGGCCAGCTGCTCCTCCTTCTGCTCCTGTTGATCCCGAAAGCTGAGCACCACTTCTGAGAACTCGGTGTGGAACCACCACTGTTCCATAGTCACTGCGCTCATGGGTAGGGACAGGGAGCAGGGCAGCGTGGCATCTCTACCCAGCACTACCACTTCTGAGAACTCGGTGCAGAACCACCGCAGATCCATAGTCACTGCACTCATGGGTGGGGACAGGGAGCAGGGCAGCGTGGCATCTCTACCCAGCACTACCACAACAGGGTCCCAAGGGCCCATCACCAGGCATGGACATGGGAGTGAGAAGCTGGTGAGACACAGGCCAAGGAAGCAACAGAGAAAACAAACCATCCCATGGGAAGGCCAGGCAGGCCGGGGGCAGATGCTGGGTGACATGACCCCACAAGACCTGATGGGGTCTTCCATGAAGGACTCTGTAACTGGGTGGTTCTCACATGGAGCTTTACCCACAGGACCTTGTAAAACACAGACTGCTGAGCCTCATCCCCAGAGATTCCACTTAGGTAGGTCTGAGGTGGGCCCAAGAATGTGCATTTCTAAGGGGTTCCCAAGAGAGGTGATACAGTTGACCCTGGTGGTTGTTTGAAAATCAAGGCTCTAACCTGCCCTTGCCTACAGGCAGCCTGAGACCTAACCAAAGGGCATACCCATGGCCTAGGTCAGGCACACCCTGATTGTTCAGCCACACCCAGAAATTCCATACTCCCACTTTTTTTTTTAGAGAGAGAAATATTTTTGCTATAGAGAGCACACGCTCACCACAGAGACAGAAAGTGAGAAATCACCCCCCAGGGGGATAGCCATGCTGCAATCACCTCTCCTCCAATCTCTCCTTGGGATTTTGGGCAAGCACACACATGTGCCCATTGTGAGCGTTAAGCCACCAGGTCTGGGATTAGAACTACAGTCAACTATGTGGGAATCCAGCGACATAACCATTACGCGATCTGCTGATCCCTCACACTCCCACTTATAAGTTTAAGTTTTTTATCCAAAATTTTCTCCAGTACAGAATAAATAGGTCATCAGAAATGTCATGACATTTTTTTTTCTGTTTTTCCTTGTAATAATGTGTCATGACTTTTCCGATGACCCAACATATGTGAACTTAGGCCTAGATCCAAAGCTGTTTCCATTAAAAACCTGTCTTCCCTGGAGCCATGGTGGTTAAAGCACTGGATCCCACATGGCCAACTCCAAAGTTTGAGTCTCGGACATGTGTGCATGTGTGCCCCAAACCTCGAGAGATAAACAGAAGAGATGGTGACATAACCATTTCCCCTGGAGGATGGGATCTTACTTTCCTTCTCTCTGTTTCTTTTATTAAATTAAAACAAAACAAAACAAAAACAAACAAAACAAAACAAAACACAAAAAAACTACCTGCCTTTCCTACCAATTCTCACAGGAATAGCAATCACCGTTTGTAAAAGAGATTTCACCACACCTACCACCTTCTCAGTCCTGGTGCATGGGCCATAACACGACTCTTCTGAGAGCTCTGGGCCTCCAGACAGCTCCCTGTCACCCTGTGCTCTGTGCACCCAGCCCGAGCAGCTGGAGGACAGCAGTACACGAGCCTCCCCTGCCACCCCCTGTCCTCTCCCGCCATCACGGCTGTGATTCTTTGATCTCATAAGAGCTCATCCATGTCCCTGCTCTGCTCAAAACCCTCCTGTGGCCCATAGACTAACAGGGTTACTCCCCAATACCGGCTCTAGCCCCAGCTCCTTCTCCCCTGCCTGTCTATTCCAGCCAGCATTTGTTTCCCTCTCTCTGCTGCTCTCCAACACCCCAGTCAGGTACAGCCAGGCACCCTGCCAGCTTCGCCCTGGCTGCTCCCCACTGCGGGAACCATCTTTCCCAGGAGGTCCTCACAGCTCACACCCCTCTCCTGCTAGTCCCTGTTCTACCCCTGTCTCACTCACCTCCTCTGTGACCATTGTGCATGCCCATCCCCTCCCGCACCCCTGGCTGCCCACCCCTGCCTGCCCCACCTCACTCCTCTCTACAGACACAGGCCGTCCTGGGGTGCTGCATTTACTACTCGCTGTCTCCTGCTGGAATGTAGGCTCCGTGAAGACGGGAGTCTGTGTAGTTCATAGAACAGTGCCTGACATGTCAGAACTCCATTGATATTGGGGAATAGAGTGAATGAGTGCATGCTTAGCAGGGAAACCAAACCTAGAGGAAAAGGTATTTCCAATTTTTTGATATTTGGCTTTTTAAATCATCAAAAAGCTTATCATTGAACAACTGTCAATATCCCCTACACTGACCTCACAGGTTAGTGACCCGTGTGAAGTTCTTAGTTACAGTGGGTCCTTGGTCGAGCACCATCCTCTTTCCAGAGCTGGGGGCTGACAGAGACCCAGCAGAGCACCCAGAGGCTCCCACCCCCCAGAGGGAGACACAGAGATGGATGGGGACACTCACGTATGGACCTCCCAGGGGGCAGCTGGACCAGGAGAAGCAGGGAGGTGAGAAGGCGGAACCAAGAACCACTGCAGCAGCCCTCCATGTGCTCAGAGCTGGGAAGAAACAGGATCGGGGCAGCCAGGGAGCGAGGGGAGGCCGGAGGCAGGTCAGCGAGCTCTGGACCTCTGCCACGTCAGCCCCTCGGGTGAGCAGAGCATTTCCTACTGCTGGTTGTGGTGGGGTGGGGGCCCCACTATACTGACACCCACAGAGAGCTGATCCAGCCTCCTCCTGGCCCTGTAGGGAAGACTCTGTGGTTTTAGGAAGTCATTAGGTTTGTCTGGGAGAAAACTGATCCTTTCCCTCCCACCCAGTTGCAACCACACCTCAGCTCCGTTCTGTCCAGAAAACCAGGTCCTTCTTTCTAAACATGCAGGGCCCAGTGGTGGACACCGCTCCTTACCTCTGCATCATTCACGCACCACAGGTGACATCCTCACCTGGGGATGGAGGACCCAGAAGCAAGTCCCTCCTCCTGAAAGACACGCCAGCTCTTGCTACCTTGCTGTCCTGTTGCCCGCTAACAGTGACACTCAGAGCCTCAGAGACAGACCGTGTCCTCAGGGAGATGGTGGTGCCATCACAGGTGCCCAGCTTTTTTGGTTGTTCTGTTCACCTAAATTTGAATCCCCCAGAGCTCCCTTCCTGTTAGAGGCCCTGCATGCACTAAGCACTAAGGGATTCCCCACTGAAGGGTGAAATCTTGCCCGCCTACCTTTCGATATACGATTTCTGCTGGAGAGGTAAAGATCTTTGGAAAAGATGGAATTGCAAAGAAGACAGTGTGACTCCTGGTCAGAGAAAAGGCCCCCAAACAATGGACTGGAGGAGGAAAGAGAGAGCCAGGGTCCTGCTAGGACAGACTCTGGGGCTCCCTGTGGGGCTCCGTCCAGGCTCGGCTGTCCTCAGGGTGACCATGTCGGGCAACTTTCTTGACCTTTTCTGTCTCTGTTCCTTCATCTACAAAATAGGGATAGTAACAGCATCTCCTTGCCAAGCTGTTACAAGGGTGTATGGATTTATATTGGTAGTCACTACATAGAACTAGAATAAGGGGTACCAGTGTATGGCATAATGGTTATGTCACTGGACTCCCACGTAGTCGACGAGATTCGAGTCCTGGACCCGGCACCTTAAAACTCGTGCCAGGCATATGTGCATGCATGTCAAAAATCCCCAGAGGAGAATGTAAGAGAAGGGATTGCGGCATGGCCATCCCCTTGGAGGGGGCGATTTCTCACTTTCTGTCTCTCTGGCAAGCACACATGACCTACAGCAAAAAATCTCAAAAAAAGAAAAAAAAAAGAACTGGAACAAGACATGATCCTATGGATGCTTCAGAAATATCACTGAAACAAATAAATAAATAGCCCTCACTAAGATTGCACTACATTTTCTTAGACCAAGACCTTTAGCCAGTCCCCCTCCCTCTGCCTCAGGCCCAGCCACATTCTCAGCCTCCTACAGCCTCACAGCTTCATTTGCTCCTCCTGGCCCACACCTGCCTTCCAGCCCTCTTACCTCTGTGGCAGGTTGGAAGGTCTTATTCCTGGCTCCTGTTCATTCCCAGCTCTGAAAGGCTCTGGAGTGTCTCTAAGCTCAGCAGTTGGAGAAAGTTCAGAGCCACAGGCACCCCAGCAGACCCCAAATCCACCCTCAGAGTTTGCACCTGCTGTCAGCTACCCTCAGAGCCCAGCGCCTGCTTCCGGAACCAAGGCTGGGGGCCCAGGATGCCTCATCTCTGAGAGGCCGGTGGTTCCCAGGAGGGCAGAGAAGCAGAGCCTGGAGGGTAGTGTCTGCAGAGCCCCCGGCCCTGGGCCTCACTGATCCTCCCAGGGAGAAGAGTCAGCCCCTCTGGCTCCTTCCTGCATCTAAAGTGAAAACTTGCAGAGCAGAGCCTGGGCAGAGCCTGCCCTGCCCTCTGGACATCGCACCCTGTTATCAGGAAGGAAACCACAGAACAGAGGAGCAGAGGGGGGCCCACGGGTTATCATGGAACACCTGCCCAGCCAGCCCTCTTATAGCTGGAACCCTCACCTGCCCACTGCCACCACCTCTCCCTGCCTGATCGGGACACTTCTAGAGTCACTGGGGGATTTCATGAGAAGACAGAGGGAGGAAAGTGAAATGTTATTAAATCCTGCTCAGTGTCAGGAACGGGGCTGTACACATTATCCTTACGCTACTGTTCTTCATTCTGGGGACTGTAACAGAGGTGAGGATGGGAGCCTGCCATCGAGGGGCTTCAGTCCTGTGACTTCCTAGATGAAGGAGGGGCTAGAGTTTCAAGAAGATATCTACAACCCCAGGCCCAGCTCCTAGCTCCAGACAAATTAAAATGAGAAAGGAGCTGGGAAGGGACCTTGGACTCCGATGCCTGGGAATGATAAGCCCAGAAAGCTTATCTCACCCTGAACCCCAGCCCTCTGCCTTCCCTGCTGGGAGGGGGAAGGAGTGACAAAGCACAGGTCAGATTTCCTTCAGGAACACCAGCAGGACCCTGGGGAAGCTGCCTGGACAGTGGACACTGCAGGGCCGTCTCCATGGTCTGGTGGCTTAGAAGGCTGGACCCCACATGCCCAATTCCAAGGATGGAGTCTCAGACCTGGCCACTTGAAAAACACACCAGGCGTATGGGCATGTGTGCCCAAAATCTAAATGGAGGACAGACAGAGGAGGAGAGATGGCTGCGGTGGCCATGCCCCATAGGGTGTGCTCCTCCTCTCCCTCTCTGGAGACCACACGTGCCCTCTGTCAACATTAAAAACAAAAACACACAT